GCGGAGTTCGAGAGGTTGACGTTACTGCCCCACGGGGCGTGCAGCTGGAAGGGGCAGGGCGCAGCCTATATATAGATTGCGTGTCCAAGTCCCGAGGAGAGTAGGGGGTGGGGTAGAAAGCAATATAGAGCGATGGAGAGGGGAGACAGGAGAGAGAGAGACAGCAGGAGGGTAAAGCCTGCCTGAGTAGAGCAGGGCAGGCCTGAGGAGGCCATTTGGGACCCCCTTCGAAGTCATTTGGGGCCCCCTCGAGGGACCATTTGGGACCTACCTCAAGAGAGGCCTGTGGGAGGCCCCTCCTGGAGCAGAGCAGGGCAAGCCTGTGGAGAGTAGAGAGGCCTGCAGAGGAGGAAGGGAAGAAGAGGAAAAGCCTTCCTCTTTGGAGTTTTGGAGCTTTGGAGGTCTGAGGTTTGGAGGTTTCCAGACCCACTAATTGGTGGTTTGCAGACCAACTAATAAAGGTCGAGGCTGCCCATTGGAGGCTTGGAGGTTTGGTGGTTGAGGCTGCTCCTGGTTCTGGGTATCTACCCTAGGGACAAGGTAGTTGCAGGACCCCTTTCTGGTGAAAATAGTGTAAATAAACTTCTTTTGTCCACCTTTAACTGTGCCTTGATAGGTTGTCTCGCTTCAGAGGTCATAAGTTTATCTGCAACAAAAGTTTGTATACACACACACTAGTATATTAGTGTAATATATACTATATAGTATGGATATATATACTACGACTATAGGATATATACTATATATAATTTATAGTGTATATACTATATAGCAACATACATTAAAATCTATAATTTTATATTTAAATTTTTATGTATAGTATACTTTATATATTAGACATGATATAATTATATATTAATATATATGCATAATATATTCTATGTAATATACTATTTATAGTATATATGTGTATATATATCTATATATGTGTGTATACTATTTATAGTATATATATATATGATATGTATCATATAAACCTTGTAATTTTTCTCTGTGATTTTTCACATGGGGATTCAGGGATTATTGGAGACTAATCTGAAATTTTGTTTTGGTCAATAGGTGGCTGTCTTTGCTTGGTTGCTGGTTCTGGGTTGGCTGAGAGAGTCTGTACCTGGTCTGTTGTGGGAGAGGCCTACTTCCAGCTGCTGGTCTGACCCTTGTAGGGCTCTTGGCTGTCTGCTATAGATCACTGGCATTTCCTGCCTTTAGAAGGACTGAGCAGCCTAGACTGCTCCTGTTTACTCCTACAGGTGCTCTTGGTGAGATCGGGTGTACTGGATGTACTTTCCCAGTTGCTGGAGTCTGCTATGAGCTCCTGATTTTTTTTTTCTTTTTTTGGTCGATTGTGGGCCTGAACTCTGGGTGTGGGCTCTGCCCCTGAGCTCTTCAGCTCAAGGCTGGCACCCTACCATTTGAGCCACAGCGCTACTTCTGGCTCTTTCTGCTTATGTGAAGTTGAAGTATCAAATCCAGGGCCTCATGCACACAAAGCAAGTACTCTACTGCTGAATCACCTTACCAGCCTGAGCTCCTGACTATTATCAGGTGCTGGTGGCCTGAGTTGTCCAATTCCTGGCCTGGGATATATGGGTCAGGTTCTGGTGGGGTCTGGGCTTCTGGTTCTTTTGCTGTCACAGGCACAATTCTCAGGGGGTGCAGTTCCCTGCTTTCCCCCCTCTGCTGAGGTCATGCTCAGCTTCTGACTTCAATCAAGTTGGTTGTGTTGCTCAGGCATCCAATCCCCAGGCCTGGTCCTGGCTTCTGGACCCCGGCCTGGGGCATGCCAGTTGGACCTATGCTGCTGTGCTGTGTATCCTGTCTGGGTTACGCAGCCTGGAGTACAAAGTTCAGGTGTCTTCTGCTGTTGGCTATTGTGAACCATGGGCACTGTTCCTGGCTTGGGTGTTTAAGCTCCCTTCCAGGGGCGCTCTTGATCTAGCTTGGCCAGTTGGATGTGCTCCACAGGCTGGTGGAGTACTCGAAGAATTCCCAGTTTTAGTGGGACCTGTAGTCCAGGTGTTGGGGCAGGGGTCTGGGTCAAGATTTGGGGGTTCCCACCAGCTCTAGTCTCCCTTGAAGGGAGGGGATACACTGTCCCCTGTGGGGTACTCACCCTGGAGCTAGTTGGGAACTCTCTAGCTGTTGCTTCTGTGTGATGGAGGTGGCTGATTACCGCTGCAATCCGCTTTCAGTTGAGATGCTTGTGAGCTGGGCCAGGTGGCGGCGGCTCTGCAACAGTGTTTCTCCTCTGTGTCTGCCTCTGTTGCTGTAGTCCAGTAGTCCGTGGGCTGCTCTGGCCTCTGGCCGAAGGGTGGGGGAAGGGTCTCTGTGCAGGTTCTGAGCGCTGAGGTTTGTCTCTGTTTGTGCTCTCCGGATCAGCACCAGCACCTTGAGGGTCTTCTGCACTGGCATTCTGCGGGCAGACCCCTGTAGTTCTGGGGTCCTCCTTGCAGGGCCGTGGGGCCGAGTCGATATATACCATATAAACTATGCATAATATTGTATAAAATATGTGCTAGAGTATAACATAATCTATAGTACTTGCAGTATATACAGTCTTAGTATATATAATACTATAGAGTGTAGAATATATAGTATATATAGTATAACCTATATAGTATAACATACTATAGTATAACATAGTATAACATACTATATAGGTTATACTATACGTATGTTATATATTCTACATAATATATGCACAATATATGTTATATGATTACAAACAGTATAGGTCATATACTATGTAACATTTGCTATGATATTAAATTCTATATACTATATATAGGTATAACCAATGGCTCACCCCTATCATCCTAGCTACTCATGAGTTTGAGATCTGAAAAAAATCACAGTTTAAGGCCAGCCTGGGCTGAAAATCCTGTGAGACTCCATCTGTAAAACATCTGGCAAAATCTAGGCTGGATGCTTGGCTCACATGGTCGAGTGCCTATTTAGCAAGCAATACGAGCCATGCAAAAGGTCCTGATTTCATATCCCATACTGAATATCCACAAAAACAATAACAATTGTATCAATAGTAAAACAAAATACAAGAAATATAGAGCAAGGCATTGCAATTTGAAAAAAAAAAAATCCCTAGAGGATCAGATGGAGAATGAAGATACTTCCCCCCCACCCTCCAGCTTTGCAATTTGCAGTATTTGAATGGGCAGTAGAGGGAGCAGTAAGTCATTTTCTCTCTGAAACTCAGGCAAATTTGATGAGAAAGGGCTCTGAGAGACTGCCCTACCCTGCCTTTCCAGCCACTGGGGTGCAAATGCTGCCCTATGACAGCTGGCAGACATGCTCAGTGCACAGGCCTGGGGCACAGTGTGCAGGTGCAGTCATCAAATGGCTCCCATCAGCTGAGCCCACGGAGGCCTGAGCAGGGGTTGTATCCTCTAGCCAAGGTGTGTGGGGGCTCAGAGCAGACAGGAAGCAATATAGCCTGGGGCAGGTGCAGACTGGATGATTGCCTGAGCCCTGGATGGAGCACTCCCCCTCCCCCTCTCTCTTTTCCCTCTCCCCCCTCCCTTCCCCCTCCCTCTTCTCATCTCCTCTCTCCTCTCCCTCCCCCTCCTGACCACAGTTCTCAGATGGACACACCTTTGTGTAGATGTGGGTTATTGGTAAGGAGCCTCTAGCAGGGCGCTGGTGGCTCACACCTGTAATCCTAGCTACTAAGAATACTGAGATCTGAAGATCATGGTTCGAAGCCAGCCGGGGACAAAGAAAGACCTTGAAGACTCTTATCCCCAAGGTGAGGAGCACTCACCTTTTGCTGAAGAGCTCAGGGACAGTGCCCAGGATCAGAGTTCAAGCCCTACAATCCGAGAGGAAGGGAGGGAGAGAGAGAGAGAGAGAGAGAGAGAGAGAGAGAGAGAGAGAGAGAGAGAGAGAGAGAGAGAGAGAGCCCGCTTAGTGGGTGAGAGGCATGGAGTTCAACCCTAGTCATGTCCCCCAAATAGAAATACTTAACTCCAAATGGATGTGCCTTCCACTTCTTTCTTCAGTACAACCTACAATTTCCACTTGCCACTCCCCCACTCTGCGCCCCTCCCCTCCCCGACCTGGATCCCCCCTTCTCTATGTCCAAATTGCAGCCAGTTTCCTGCATCCATGTTGCTTCTGGGCTTAGCCAGTGGAGAGGGCACACTGGGAATTGGAGAGACTACAAACTCAAGGTGAGCAGGCATGAGTGGATGGTGCCTGTAATCTCAACCATTTAGGAGGCTGAGCTCTGAGGGTCACCGTTCAAAGCCAGCTCAGGCAGGAAAATCCATGAGACTCTTATCTCCAGTAAACTACCCAAAAGCCAGAAGTGGAGCTGTAGCTCAAGTGGTAGAGCACCAGCTTTGAATAAATCTTAAGAGATAGCATTTAGCCCTGAGTTTCAGCCCCAGTATTAGATTAACATACACACACACACACACACACACACACACACACACACACACACGTGCTGGATATTGGTGGCTCACACCTATAACCCTGGCTACTTAGGAGACTGAGATCTGAGGACTGCAGTTTGAAGCCAGCCAGGGCAGAAAAGTCCTCATGAGATTCTTATCTCCAATAACCACTCAAAAACTGGGGTGGTTCAAGTGGTAGACCGCTATCCTTGAGCACAAAGAGGCTCAAGGACAGCACCCAGGCATTGAGTTCAAGCCCTACAATTGACTCCCCCCCCCAAAAAAAGTGCCTAACCATTGTAAGCACACAGTACATATGAGCAATCATTATTGAGCCTCAACTTTTCAAGTCAGCACAAATCTGCATCACTGAAGAAATCCACAAAGCTAGGCAGCAAATTCTGGAGACAAGAGGAGCTTGTTTTCTGGAAACAGACTACACCCAACCTATCTCAGATTTCTGGGAAAATGTCACATGTCATGGTGTGCGGGTTGGGGTGGGGGGGTGGGGTTCTTCTCAACCCTGTTCATCTGTTCATTTCTGGTGCTGCCATCCAGTTCCTGTTTCTCTTTCTGAGTAAAAAACTCAGCATGAGGAAAGGGAGTAGGGAAATAAAAGCTGTACTCTCCAGCTGTCCTGACCACTAAGGGACATCAGGGACCATGAGTGACTCCAAGAAAGTGAAGGAGCCATCGCTGGGCCTCCTGGGTGAGGCTGGGCTGCACTACTGGAAGTTCAGGAAGCTGGTCCTAGGGGTTGGGGATGGCGGGGGTGGTGGTGCTCAGATCTGATCTCAGCCTGCCTGGTTCTGACTTTAGCTTCTCTCCATTCAGACGAGGAAGAGCAGATACCTGGGGCCACCAGATATTTTGTGAAAGGCTCTGTGCACCAACTGGCTGGTGATCTCAAGGACGTTGCAGGTGAACCATGGTTTATGGGGTGGGGAGGAGGAAGGGGAGAACCTCTTAGATAATCTGTGCTGTGGGGAGGTGGAACCTCTCAGTCTGCAGATGGGGAAACAGGCTCCTGTGGAGGGGGAAGCTGGGGTTCTACACAATCCTGAACCTGGAGATGGTCAACGTTGGAGACTTGGACTCATGTGTCTTGTCAAAGTTAACAGTGAGGGTCTAGACTGCTGGGTCCTTGGTCTGTGGAGGTCTATAGACTCCTTGGTCTATGGAGGGTGAGGATGAAGGTCTGTACTCCTAGGTTCTGTGCAGGTGAAGGCTGAGGGGCTGGAACTCCCAAGTCTGTGAAGATGGAGGTAGAGGGTATGGACTTTTGATTCTCTGGAGATGGAGGCTGAGGGGCTGGACTTCTAGGTCCTGTGGAGATAGAGGCTGAGGGGCTGGACTGCTAGGTTTTGTAGAAGTAGAGGCTGAGGTTCTGGGATTCCTGGGTTCTGTGGAGGTAGAGGCTGAGGGTCTAGACTCTTCATTTTGTAGAGATGGAGGCTGGGGCCTGGGACACCTAGGTTCTAGGGAGGAAAAGGCTGAAAGGCTGGATTCCTGGGTTCTATGGAGATGGAGACTGAGGGTCTGGGTCTCCTAGGTCCTGTGGAGATGGAGGCTGAGGGTCTAGACTCTTCATTCTGTGGAGGTGGAGGCTGAAGATCTGGACTCCTGGTATTGAAGAAGTGGAGGCTGAGGGTCTGGGACTCCTAGGTCCTGTGGAGGTGGAGGCAGAAGGGCTGGTTACCTGGGTCCTGGATGTTCAAGGCTGGAAACTTGTGGCCATGCCTGGATTTCTGTGCACTGGAGGGGAGGATTATAAAGCCTGAACATCTGAAGAGGAGAAGCCCGAAGTTGTAGAGATGGAGGCTGGGGCTCTGGGCTCTGGTGTCCTGGGTGAATCCTGGAAGTTTGGACTTCTGAGTCCTGTGGAAGTAGGAGCTGGGAAAGTGGACTCCTATGTACTGGAGAAGAGTCTAAGTTCTGGACTTTTGGAGAAGTTCTGGGATCCTGGGGTGGAAGTCAGGGGACTGGATTATGGGGTCATGGGATGGTTGGATTTGAAATCTGGGTTTCTATAGGAACTGGGTGGGATGGGGGCATGGAGGCTGGAGCATGGAATCATGGGTACTGGGGAAGAAGAGACTGAGAGTTAGGAGCGACAAGACACTGAGGAGCTGACCCCACCCTTTTTCTCTCCAACAGGGGGTCTGAGCCATGGCCATGCACTTCAGCTTCTCTCCCTCACCCTCTTCACCCTTCTCCTGCTGATTGTCCTGGTCAAAGGTCAGGCAAGCCTGGGATTGGGACATGGCAGTCCATGAGTAGGGGTGAACTGAAATCTGGGATCAGGTATTTCCAGAGCACCCGCCTGTGGTGTTGAGTTCGGGTTCTCACTCCACTCTTGCTGGTGATTTAGCTTTCTCTTCAAGTGTTACAGTTTCCTTGTCTTCCAAGAAGATTAGACAAGATGGCAGCTTTCAGAAAACAATATTCCTGAGGGGGTCATTGTGCAGGCTAACACACACTACGTGTTTAATGGTTGCACTTTTTTGCTGATCAAATTGGGAGTCTTTATTAAAAAGCGGGTGAAAAAATTGGGAGTCTTTATTGGCGAGCCAGTGGCTGCAGGTGGACTCCTGTCCCAAAGACCTGCAGCCCCTCGAATACACTTAACAGGATTAGGAAACTGAGCCATGAGAGCAGGAGAGGAAAGAAAGAGCAGAAAAACGATCCCAACAAACCAGATCCACTCCAATAGAGCGCTGAAGTGGGATACCATGGTGACAGGAGAGCCAGGAGACACGAGACATGAGACAAAAGGCACGGTGTCAAATGCGCCTTTTTTTTGGTTGTTGTTGTTGTTCTTGTTTTACCCTTTCTTTGGCACAGTGTCCAGATTTCCTGGCTCCCAAGAGCACATCAAGGAAGACAAGATCTACCAGGATCTGACCCAACTGAAAGCTGGAATTGGTGAGTGATCAGAAAGCAGGTTTTCCAGGCCTCTGTTTTATGAATTTCCTTCCATCACCAGCCCGCTCCGAGCCTCAGTTTGTGGATCTGTGAATTGGGAATATAGTGGCTCAGAGATTGTGGTATTTGGTGTACATAGAGGGCCATGCAAACAATAGGAATCTAATGAACCCAGTTTCCACGCCCCTCTTGTGAGCCTAAAACCTCCTCAAATCTCAGTCTGGAGGAGATGGTGCCACCACTTGGGTTTTTCTGAGATGGAAAAAGAGATAATTTTAAGAAGCTGAGTTGCTGGTGGTGCATTTGAGCCTGTCATCTTAGCTGCTCAGGAGGTTGAGATCTGAGGATTGAGGTTCAGATCCAGGCTGGACAAGAGAGCCTCTTATCTCCAAGTAACCAGCAAAAAAGCTGGAAGTGGAGCTGGGGCTCCACTAGCCTTGAGTGAAAGAGCTCAGAGACAGTGTCCAGGGCCTGAATTCAAGCCTCAGGACACACACAAACACACCACTTGAATTTTCTTCTCAACAGAAAGCCTATGCCACCCCTGCCAGTGGGACTGGACATTCTTTCAAGGAAATTGTTACTTCTTCTCCGAGATACAACACAACTGGCACAATTCTGTCACTGCATGCCAGGAAATGGGGGCCCAGCTCGTGGTCATCAAAAGTGAGGAGGAGCAGGTGTGCCTGCGCTGTGGTAGATGACTGGTCAGCTGGGGAGGAAATGGTTGGTCCAGTGGGATTTTTTTTTTATGGAGAACCAAATGTGTATTTTATTTGGAAAGGAGACAAAAGGTGGGAAGATAGGTTCCCAAACATCTTGCACAGAGACACACCCAAGGTCTGACTTGGGGTGAATGGATTGGGGATCTCGAGGGGTATACGTGGTTTTTGAGGATGCACTGGCTAGGGTTTAACAGCTACCTCAGTTGGGGGTTCACAGTCTTGATGTGAACCATTCATCAATTCCACTCATGTGAATTTTGCCACCCAGGCTGATGGCTCGATGCCAATGGGACAGGCTATGAAGGGGAAATTACGCATGGTTAGCAATGGTGAACTCATCTTTTGGTTCAAACACATTAATCCCGGTAATGGTGTGGGGCGCCAATGGCCCATGCCTGTCATCCTAGCTACTCAGGAGGCTGAGATCTGAGGGTTGTGGCTCAAAGCCAATCCAAGCAGGAAAATCTGTGAGACTCTTATCTCCAATGAATCACCAAAGAGACAGAAGTGGGGTCATGGTTTGAGTGGTAGAGTAGCCTTGAGCTAAAAAGCTCCAGGATAGGGCTGGGAAGGTGGCTCAGTGGTAGAGGGCTTGCCTTGCATGCGTGAGGCCCTGGGTTCGATTCCTCAGCACCACATAAGCAGAAAAAAAGCCAGCAGTGATGCTGTGGCTCAAGTGGTAGAGCGCTAGCCTTGAGCTGAAGAGCTGAGGGACAGCACCCAGGCCCAGAGTTCAAGCCCCAGGAGTGGAACAACAATGCAAAACACCCCCATCTATGACTAGATTTGCACTCAGAACTCAGAAGACACACAAGCAGTGAAGCAAACGTGTCTCAGAGAGGCCACTGGAGTGCACACTGTGTGCCAGGCAGAACACATCTATCCACCGGATACAGATGTAGGTGGAACATTCCAGACTCACAGATGGGTAGAGTAAATCTCAGGCAGGAAACTGAACTTCCTGCAAAGAGTTTGGGGAGACCCAGGTGGAAAATGGGGTGCACGATTCCTTCCTGAATCCTCTTCTCTTCTTCCAGAGATTCCTGCAGCAGGCTTCTAAGAGTAAAGGCCGCACCTGGATGGGGCTGTCCGACCTGAAACATGAGGGCATGTGGCACTGGGTAGACGGCTCCCACCTGATGTTCAGGTAGATCTTGGAGGAAGCAAACACACTGTAGAGTAAGAGTTCAAGTTCTGACTTGAGCTCTGTTTTGGGGGGAGAGGGATTAGGTGGAAGCGGGGTGTGCTTTTCTTCCCTCTGTGGCTCACTAGGTTAAATGGTCTGACTTGAAGACGGAGAGCTTTCATAACGCCATGTTTAGATAGGATGGCCCCATGGAAAGCAGATGCCAGTGGCTCATGTCAGTGGATTTGGGGGTGGAGATGGAGGGGGCGGTACTGCAATCTGGAAGATCACAGCTAAAGGCCAGTCCAAAATAACCAACCAAAAAAACTAGGTTGGAAGCATGACTCAAGTGGTAGAGCACCAGCCTAACAAGCAAGCAGAGCAAGTGAAAAGCCTTGCACTCAAACCCCAGTACTTACAACTATACAGAATGATATATATTTAATATATGTATTATATAAAAATATATAAGTGAATATATATTTATAGATGAATATATTTTAAATAATATATTAAATAAATATACTTGTTCTATATGTGTTATATATTATATGTGTTATTACATTATATATAGGTATATTTTAAATAAGTATATTAAATAAATAAATGTTATTTATTTTATGTCAATATCTATTATACACTATATAAACATTTTAAAACAAATATTATATACAAACTATATTTTTATATAAAGATATATAATACATGATATATAATATTAATAGAAAATGTGAGGGATGGAAAAGCCAACATGCCATAGAAATTATTGTAACTGATGAGATAAAATGACTGTGTGGTACTGGAGGCTCATGTCTGCAATCCTAGCTACTCAGGAAGCTGAGATCTGAGGTTCCAGGTTCAAAGCCAGCCTGGGATAGGAAAGTTATAAGACCATTATCTCCAATGTACTGTTAGAAAAGCTAGAAGTAAAGCTGTTACTCAAGTGAAAGAGTGCTAACCTTAACCAAAAAAAGTTTGGAGACAGCACTCAGGCCCTGAGGTCAAGCCCCAGGAGTGGCACCAAAATAAAGGAAGTACCAAATTATAAACATATACAGAATCATACACATATATACACAAACATGTTAATAATAGTATATGAAGGGAATGATTCCAATAGTGTAATTTCTCTAAACAAATAACACGTTTTAACAAAAACAAGAAAGAGGAAGTACCAGGCCATATCCCAGATGCTGAGGGCAGAGAAATTGTGACCAAGAATTGTTCTTGTGGTTTCCATGAGAACTAATAGATAACACAGAGTAAGCAGGCCTGGGATTGGCTAGTTTGGGATGTCAATTTTGCTCCTTGCCGCTGGTGAAGGATTTGATTGGTTTGTATCTGAAAAACTGCACAGCCAACAGGATGGACGACCCCCCCCTTCCCTGCCCCTGCCCACTGGACTATGATAACCAATAAGAGAAGAAGGCAAAGGTCAAGTGTATCAACCATACATACAAGGTTGCCATATGCATGCAGGGCATATGTGAATGTGTTTCAAAGTGGAAAGGAAAGAACAGGGTGGGTATAGGAAGTGTGGAACAGAGGCTCAATTTCAATTGGTCTATGCAGATTCATGAAATATTGGAATGAAGGAGAGCCCAACAGTTCTGGGGATGAAGATTGTGCAGAATTTAGAGGTGATGGCTGGAATGATGTGCAATGTAAGCTTGAAAAATTCTGGATCTGCAAGACATCTGCAGCCTTCTGCCCTACCAAGTGAAGCCCGTCTATTGCCAAAGTGCCCTAGTCATGGTACCCCTGCTGGGGGCCATTCTGTGTTCTGTCAGTCAGTTCCTTCTTCCTGTCTGTGGGTATTGAGATTTTTGATAAGAGCTTTTCTTTTCTTCTCTCTCCCTCTATCCCTTAGTCCCTTCTTTGTTGGAGACTGGGACCTTCTATGTAACAAGGCTGATCCAGAACTTGAGGATCTCCTGCTTCAGTATCCCATGTGCTGGGATTACAGGCATACGCTACCAGTTCTCCCCTTTATTATTTTTTAACCCCATATCTAAAACTTCTCTTCATTGAAACAATCCTTTATAGATTGAGAGATTGATATTTGCAAGTCTATCATCCACTTCTCTTATTCTTGGCCAACAATAAATTTCTTCCCTGCAACATGGGTGTTCAGTTGTGTTACTACTTTTGCAATTCCAAAGAGAAGGAAAAAATTGACTAAATTGGTAATGAGCTCTCTTCTACTTTCAGATCTTTATTTTTTGAGTTTCTACATATGAAAGACTTATCCTTTTGTATCTGGATGGTTTTGTTTCACATAGTGTCTTCCAGTCTGATGCATTTTTTCTCAAAGGACAGGTTTTCATTCTCAGCACTATTAGTTGGAGAGATTGTCCTTTCTCTGATGTATGTTTTTGGTGCCTTGATCTAGAATTGATTGGCTTGTTACCAGACAGAGGTGAGGTTTAGCGAAGCTCCCCTTTAAATATAGGAACTCTTCACTTAGGGCTCTTGACTTCCATTGTAGACTAAGAATTTCTGGACAGGTCACAATGGTAAGAAAACTTGGCAGAGCTTTATTAAGTAAACAAGCAAGAAAAACAACCAGATCAAAAAAAAAAAAAGCAGACAAACAGAAGGACAAGGGCACACTCTAGCAGAGTGTGGGTGCTTTCATAGGGACACAAAGACACAGACACAGACAGACAAGAAGACACCCAGAGAGACTCACAGCTCCTTGGGCAGTTGGATATTTATAGGGTAAAGGCAGGGGGTCTGGCTTTAAATTATGCAAAGCTAGGTGCTTTGTCTTCGCTTTAACTATACCTAGTGTTCCAGGTAAGAATGCATCCATAAAACAGATCCTTATCCTTGAAACAAGAGACACCCTCCTAACTGCATTTTGGGGCATCCTATCAGGCAATTGTGAATTCTTGGGTGAGAAGTGCATCCCTTAGGAAATAATGCATTCAATTGTTGTTCTTTGAAGCAAAGATAGCATTTCTAAGTTTTTAGGTAACATATTTCTTTTTTTTTTTTTTTCTGTCAGTTGAGGGGTTTGAACTCTGGGCCTGGGCGCTGTCCCTCAGCTCTTCAGCTCAAGGCTAGCGCTCTACCACTCGAGCTACAGCACCACTTCCTAGGTAACATATTTCTGAGTTGCCTACACCAGGCCTCAGTTTCCATAAGTTATCCTGCTTCATTTCCCCCCAAATGACTTTTGTTTCCTTAATCTTAAGGGCCGTACATGAAGGAATATCTCCTGTATTTGCTATTAGCTGACCATACCTCATTTTTCCTAGTCTATCCGGCTTCATTTCCCCCAAAATGACTTTGTTCCCTTAATCCTAAGGAAAGTATATGGACAAACTTTAAGCTTGAATCTTTGAATCCCTAGGATTCATTTACCATGCCTCATTTTCTCTGGGCTATCCTGCCTCACACTGAGATGTGTAGATTTGTTTCTTGGCTTTGGAATTTTGACTCTTGCTGCAAGGGTCTGTTTTTGACCCCAATACATACTATTTTTGTTCCTATGTCTCCTTTGCATATGTTGAAATCAAGTATTATAGCCAAGAACTGGTGGCTCACACCTGTCAACTGAGCTACTCAAGAGGCTGAGATCTGAGGAACAAGGTTCCAAGCCAGCCTGGGCAGGAAAGTCCATGAGACTCTTATCTCCAATAAACTACTCAGAAAAAGACAGAAGTTACACTATGGCTCAAGTGGTAGATTGCTAGCCTTGAGCACAGAGAGGCTCAGGGACAGTCCCTAGCCCTCAGGACAAGAGAGAGAGAGAGAGAGAGAGAGACAGACAGACAGACAGACAGAGACAGGGAGACAGGGAGACAGGGAGACAGGGAGACAGGGAGAGGGAGAGGGAGAGAGAGAAAGGGAGGAGGGAGAAAGGGAGGAAGATGGAGAGGGAGTGAAAAATCAAGTATTATAAGGCACCTGCACCCAAATTGTCTAAAATTGTCCAAAATTAACTTTGCTAATCAGGGATGTTTTTTTTTTGTGGGGGAGGGGATTCTTCCATGTGGCTTTGAGGATTGATTTTTTTCTTTTTATTTTTTTGGTCGGTCATGAGACTTGAACTCTGGGCCTGGGTGCTGTCCCTGAGCTCTTCAGCTCAAGGCTAGCGCTCTACCACTTGAACCACAGCACCACTTCCGGTTTTTTTCTTTTTGCTTATGTGGTGCTGAGGAATCGAACCCAGGGCCTCATGCATGCAAGGCAAGCACTCTACCACTGAGCCACCTTCCCAGTCCCCCTTGATTTTTTTTCTAGTGGAGTGAAGCATGTCATTGGAGTTTTGATGCAAATTGCATTGACTATCTAGATGGTTTTTGGGTTGTATGAACATTTCAACAATATTAATTCTTCCAACCTGTGAAAGACAGATATGGATGGATGATCATGTAGCACAGGGTGTGCAGCCTAAATACAAAAGTGTAGGGCTGGGAAGTTGGCTCAGTGGTAGAGTGCTTGCTTCGCATGCATGAGCCCCTGGGTTCAATTCCTCAGCACCACATAAACAGAAAAAGCCGGAAGTGGTGCTGTGGCTCAAGTGGTAGAGCACTAGCCTTGAGATGAAGAGCTGAGGAACAGCGCCTAGGCCCAGAGTTCAGACCCCACAACTGGACCAAAAAAAAAAAAAAAAAAGTATATAAAACAGGAAATTGCCAGACTCTATCCAGCAGGCAGTAAATCAATATGAACAACTGTGATTCACCTCCCAGCTCCCAAGTCAGCAGAATTCACCAGAAGTGAATGCATCAGCAAAGCCTGGGGTCAGAGGGAAGAGTCCCCTGAAAGATAAGACACTGCTCACCCACTGGGCCATGTGGAGACGGAACAAAAGAGCCTTAGCTGCACAAGTTCTTTGCTTTCATGAAAGGCATTCCAAGAGCTTGCCCTCACCACCGAGGGTGAAGCAGAAGTTTTCAGCTACAAACCCCAAGCCCCACTGACCCGCTCCCTGAAAATGCTAGAATGTTCAGCACAAGCTGGGCTGTGTTGATGGCCCTTCCCCTCCCTTGAGCTCTTCCGCCATTCCTGCTTACTTCCTTGTTTCTCTTCCGGAGCGATTGTAGATTCTGGGAGTGGGAAATCTAAGACGTGGCCTTCAGTAGCTCCAGGCACTGAAGGACAGCGGTGACCATGAGCGACTCTCAGGATGTGAAGGGCCCACAGCTGAGTCTCCTGGGTGAGGCTGGGCTGGGACTCGGGGTGTTCAGGATGGGGGGCGGGGGAGGGTCCTCCCATGAGGGCTCTGACTGGGATTCTCTGTCTATTCAGAGGAGGACCAGATGGTAACCGTTAAAGGACAGACTTTTCCACCCACTTCCGGATTCAGTAGTGTGTCAGGTACAGTAGAGGCACAGACACACTTGTGTCTAGGAAGCTGGAGGTTGGGTCTCCAGATGTCTGGGTGGGTGCTGGGGAAAGATACAAAATGGGTCCTTTCTGGTCACCGGTGGCTCATGCCTGTCATTCTAGCTACTCAGGCAGCTGAGATCTGAGACTTATGGTGTGAAGCCGTCCTGGGCAGGAGCGTCTGTGAGACTTTTATCTCTGATAAAGTTTTAAAAAGCCAGAAGTGGAGTTGGGGCTCAAGAGGTAGAATGCTAGCCTGGAGCAAAAGAAGTTTAGGGACAGTGCTCAGGCCCTGAGTTCAAAACTGAGGATTAGCACCCCCCAAAAAAAGGAAGGAAGGAAGGAAGGAAGGAAGGAAGGTAGGAAGGAAAGAAATAAAGAAAAATAAAGGAAAGAAAGAAAGAAAGGAAGAGAAGAAAGAAAGAATCTGGGTCCTGCAATTCTACTTCCTGGGGAGGTAGAGTCTGGGGGAGGGAATATAGGCCCTTGGGCTAAGCTAACACCTTACCATGCTGGAGTCCCCCATCTTTTTCTTCCCAGGCTGCCTGGGATATCGCCTCACTCTCCTGATCCTGCAGATGCTATCTTTTATCATCTTGACCGGGCTTCTGGTGGCTGTCCTCAACCAAGGTTAGGAAGGGCCGAGGGCTGGCCTTATGCTAGGGGAGAGTACGTGGGAAGAAAAGTCAGATGGAAAGCTGGGATCGGGGTCTTTGGTAGCTCCACAGGGCTTCTTGGGGGTTTCTCCCACCTCCGGCATACTGGAGGAAAAGGGGGAAAGACAAGCAGGAGAGGAAAGGGAGGAAGCCAGGAGAGGAGGGGAAGCAGGGGAGGGGAGGGAGGAGGAGCAGGAGAGAGGAGGAAAGATTGGGATGGAAGAGAGGACAGAAGAAGGGGAAGAGAAATAGAGGAGAAGAAAGGAGAGGAGAGAGGAGAGGAGGGGAGGGGAGGAAAGGAGAAGGAAGGGGAGGGAACGAGAGGAGAGGATAATAGGAAGAGAGGAAGCAGGGGAGAGGAGACAGGAGGAGCAGCAGAAGGGAAGGAGGAAGAGGAGAGAAGAAGAAAACAATTGGGATGGAAGAAAGGACAAAGGAGGGGAAAGAGAAAGAGAGATAGGGATAGAGGAGAAGCAGGGAGGGGAGGGAGGAGGAGCAGGGAGCACCCTGGGTCCATTTGCCCATGCCATTCACAGGCTGCTTTGGATGTCAGATTTTCTTGTCTTTAAAGGGGATTAAACAAGAGAGTAGTCAGAGACTACTACATCCTTTATGCAGAGAGGCTAGTGCATGACTGTAGGCCCGGCTGCTCAGGAGACTGAGGTGGCTGATCATGAGTTTGAGATTCGCCTAGACAGAATCTTGCGATCCATCTCAAAAGACAAAAAAAAAAAAAAAAAGCAACAGCTCCCTGAGGGCCCAGTGAAGGCCCTGAGACACGCAGTTGGCTTTTGTTTGTTTGTTTGTTTTGGTCTTTTTTGGTACTGAGGATAGAACCCAGGACACTGACACTTGCTAGCAAGCGCGTTGCCTCTGAGCTACATCCCAGCCCACACAGTTGTTTAATAATTGCAATTTCTGCCGGGCACTAGTGGCTTACACCTGCAATCCTAGCTATTCAGGAAGCTGAGATCTGAGGATCTGGATTCAAAGCCAGCCAGTCAGGAAAGTCTGTGAGACCCTTATCTCCAATAAACCACTAGAAAATTGGAAGTGGTGCTGTGGCTCAAGTAGTAGAGTGCTCGCCTTGAGCTGAAGAGTGAAGGGACAGAGCCCAAGCCCAGAGTTCAAGCCCCACAACTGACCAAAAAATAAATAATAATAATTGCAATTTCTTATTCCTTTGATGCAGGCTTCAAACTTCTTAGCTCTCAGAATCAATCAGAACAGAAGTTCAAACAGGAGCAGACCCAGCTGATGTTGACACTTACTAGGGAAGCGCTTCACCACTGAGCTACATCCCAGCCCACACAGTTGTTTAATGATTGCAATTTCTTATTCCTTTTGCCCAGGCTCCCAACTTCTTGGCTCTCAGAATCAATCAGAACAGGAACTCTACCAAGAACTGACCCAGCTGAAATCTGCAATGGGTCAGTAACCAGAAACCCAGAGCCCCAGGGCCTGAGAAGGTCAAAGGTTTCCATGGGCCAGGGGGGGAGGGATGACTAGGGGGAGAGTAGGGGGGGAGGGGAGAGAGGGGGAGGAGATATGGGAAGAAGGAGGTCACTTGGATTTGAGTCACTGGCCCTCTCCCTGGCCTGTGAATCAAGAACACAGAGGAACAGCCCGGAAGCCATTGGTGGCACCAAGAACACTGTAGGTGCTCAGTTAATTCCTGTTCTGAGCTCTTAAGTCCCCTGCTCCTCCCAGTCTGGAAGAGATGGCTCCAGGATTCCTGGGTTCTCCTGGAGTCAGGAAGGGGCTCAGGAAGTGGAGACAGAAATGACCTCAAGGGAGGGAGGGCCCTGACTGTGTAGGACTTGAAAGATGGTCAGACACAGGAACCAGAATGTTCACAGATGGGTCCAGACTGTTCTGTCTCTCCCCAACAGACAGCCTGTGCCGGCCTTGCCCCTGGGACTGGACGTACTTCCAAGAAGACTGCTACTTCTTCTCTAAGTCCAAAAGGAACTGGGAAAACTCCATCAAGGCCTGCCTAGAGATAGGGGCCCAACTGGTGGTCATTGAAACTGATGAGGAGCAGGTGCACATGGTGGGGTTTGGAGGTTCGGTATGGGGGAGGGGGTTGTCCTGGTTTTGTGCATGCAACTGGCTGCTGACCATCTAGCCCTTTGCCAGGCAGGGTGGTCTTTAAGGGTGAAGGGCTACTGGTGCCACTTGGATAGTGAAGAGAAGGAAGGTCATAAAAGAGGGTGTCTCCTTCACTTGGTAGGGAACACTTAAAATATAAAAGACCTGAGCCAGCTGCCCGTCATCCTAGCTACTCATTCAGGGGGTTGAGATCTGAGGATTGTGGTTCAAAGCCAACGCTGGGCAGGAAAGTCTGTCCGACTCCTGTCTCCAAGGAATCACCAAAAAGCCACAAGTGGCACTATGGTTCAAACAGTTCAATGCTAGCCTTGAGCCTAAGAGCTCAGGGACAGTACCCAAGCCCCGAGTTCAAGCCCCAGGGCCATCCTGATACAGGGGAAAGGATTACATTGCATCCAAGACAGCTTGAACAGACACAAGCTGCAAAATGGGGTGCAGAGCTCTTTCCTGAATCCTCCTCTCCCCTTCCAGAGCTTTCTGCAGCAGACATTAAAGAATAAAGGCCAGACCTGGATAGGACTGTCAGACCTGAATGAAGAAGCCACGTGGCGGTGGGTGAACGGCTTACCTCTGTCACAAGGGTAAATCTAACAAGACTTGAACACTCTATGGATTAGGAGTTGGGGGGTAGGGGCCCTTTGGGACTCTGATTAAACTACCCTTGGGAACTGAGCACCGGAAGCTCATACCTGTAATCCTCACTACTCAGGAGGTTGAGATTTGAGGATTGTGATTCAAAGCCAGTCCAGGCAGGAAAGCCTGTGAGACTCTTCAATGAACCACCAGATAAAACGGAAGTGGAGCTGTGGTTCAAAGTAGACATATTACTTGGTCAAGAACAGGCAGGATGGCTAAACATGGGTGTGTTAGGGAAACAAGGGTGAAGAAGGCAAGTTCCCAAGGGTCAGAACCTTGGTTGAGGGGACCAGGGGCTGGGGCCAACTCTCATGCTGTGGCTGGGTTTTTTTTAAGCTTCAAGCAGTATTGGAACAAAGGAGAGCCCAACAACGTTGGCGAGGAAGACTGTGTGGAGTTCACAGGCGATGGCTGGAATGATGCCAAGTGCAACAACGCAAATTTATGGATCTGTAAAAAACCTTCGTCCGCCTGCTCCTCGAGTTCTTTGACAAAAAAGCTCTGAGAGTCTTCTCCGTCCCATTCCCCCTCTCTCACCTGAGTCTGGACCACTGTGGTCCTTCCTTTAATGCCTTCAGGAACCCCTTTGACTTAATTGCTTGTGGGGATGACTCACTGATACAACGACCAGGTGTGGGTTGCATTCAGGGGCGTGTGTGTGTGTGTGTGTGTGTGTGTGTGTGTGTATTTGGGTGTAAGGGGGGGGTGTTCTGTTGATCTGTTCTGTTTTCCTTGCTGAGATTAAAAAGGTTTGCACAAAGATACCTTCCATTCATCTCTCCTGCACCCCTTTGGATGGCGGGGCAGGGTGGTGGGGCTTTACTGGTGGGGGAATTAATTCCCACAAGCAATCAGGAGCTGGAGTCCCAGCCCCTACCTCCCATTGATGTCGCCATGGTGACCAGATCTCTCCTTAAGGAAGGACAAATTGTAGCCCCAGTTCCTGGGGGTTCTGATGGAGGCTGAGGTCAGCTGCCAGTCCCACAGGGCACTCGTGAAGGCCGGGGTGGGGTGGGGGGAATCCTTCCTGCTGTAGCTACTATGGCAGAGGGATGAAGAAAGTCTGGCCACATTAGGCCAAGATGGGGAAATTGTTTTTGAAGGACCATCTAGGTTCAAGAGTTCTCCATGGGGTTCACTGTGGCTCCCCTGGCAAGCTGTTTCCTTCCCATGTTTGAGCACTGCTTGTGGCTTAATACAAATAGAGATTTAGAGAATCATGGAACTGAATACATTTAACTTGTATTTTATTTATTTTTTGGTGCTGGTCCTGGGGTTTGAACTCAGGGCCTGGGCACTATCCCTGATCTTCTTTTGCTCAAGGCTAGTGAGCTATCTCTTGAGCTACAGCTCCATTTCTGTTTTATTTTGTGTTTTCTTTCTTTCTTTTTTTTAAATCCAGGCTGGCTTTTTTTTTTTTTTTTAATTTTGTTTTTGGGTCCGGTCGTGGGGCTTGAACTCTGGGCCTGGGTGCTGTCCCTCAGCTCTTCAGCTCAAGGCTAGCGCGCTACCACTTGAGCCACAGCGCCACTTCCGGCTTTTTTCTTTTTGCTTATGTGGTGCTGAGGAATCGAACCCAGGGCCTCATGCATGCAAGACAAGCACTCTACCACTGAGCCACCTTCTCAGCCCCTCCAGGCTGGCTTTGAACCATGACCCTCATCTCCTCCTCTTCCTCTTCCTCCTCCTCCTCTTTCCCCTCTCTCCTCTCTCTTACTTCTCTTTCTCTGCTTTTTTCTCCTCTCCTCTTCCCTCATTTCCTCTCCTCTCTCTTCTCCTCTTCCTCTCTCTTTCCATCCTCTCTTTCTCCCCTCTTTTTCTTTATCTCTCCTCTCTTCTCCCTCACCCCTCCTGCTTCTCCCTTCTCCTTCTCTCTTCTCCCTCATTATCATCTTCTTCCTCTTCTCTCTCCTCTTTCATCCTTCCCCTCCTCTACTTCCTCTCTCTGCCTCTCTTTTCTCCTCTCTATTTTTCTCTCCTCTCTTCTTCCCTCCCTTCCTCCCCTCCCTCTCTCCCTTCCTTCTTGCCTACCACAAAGAAAAGATGTCTCTAGTCACTTGCTCCTTCCAGCCCAATGTTCTAGTCAAGAGGGCAGCCAGGGACTCAATCTTCTGAACCCACAAGCCTAAATGAATTTTTGTGAGTCTAGATTTCTCCACTCATTGTTATCCTGTGGTTTCTTAGTGAAGTTTATTATGTGTAGTATATTCCATTCTATTTCTAGGTGATAACTAGACTTTATTTTCTTCTTTTGGTGCCAGTACTGGAGCTTGAACTCAGGGCCCCATATTCTTACTTGGCTTTTTTGCTCAAGGCTAGTGCTCTACCACTTGAGCCACAGTTCCATTTCTGGCTTTCTTGCTGGCTCATTGGAGATGACTCTCACAAACTTTCTTGCCTGGGCTGGCTTTGAACTTCAAATCCTCAGCTCTCAGCTTCCTGAGTAGTTAGGATTATAGGCATGATCTACTGGCCACTGGCTAGCTAAGACTTTTTAAAAAATACAAATCATGAATCATTGTCAAGTTTTTACCATTCACTTTTAATGAATCTAGTGAAGTTTTACACTCAGTTATTAATACCATGTTTAAGTCGATTTTTCAAACCAAGTTCACTTTCTTCCAAATTAGTCCTTCCAGGACTGTGGGAAATCTCTATATTATCTTTGTAAAAATTGTCAGAAATCTAAAACGCACTTACAATAAAATATTTCCCCTGGGCGACAGTGGGTTACACGGATCATCCTAGCTGCTCAGGAGACTGAGATCTGAGGATCTCAGTTTGAAGCCAAGCCTCAGCAGGAAAGTCTGTGAGACTCTTACCTCCAGTGAACCACCAGCAAACCAGAAGTAGTACTGTGGCTCAAATGGTAGAGCACCAGTCTTGACTGGAAAAAGCTCAGGGGCAGCGCCCAGGCCCTGAGTTCAAGTCCCAGGACTGGAACTGAGACATAATTAAAAATAGAGCAAAGAGGAAAATCCTCCACCTACCACAACTTCCTGTAACATACACATTGATTTTCAAATTTTCAATGGCGATATAACATGCATACCACACAATGCACAAATTTTAGATATACAGATCAGGGTATTTTATTTATGAAGACATCAGGGCATCCATTTCTCAGATCAAAAGGTAGAATACTGCCCCTTGTTTCCATTCCAGGTTAGGTAATGCTCACCCACTCTAGATAGCCTCCTTTGGAGTCTCATTCAAAGTTCATTCTGCATGTTCTCAAAATTTAAAAAGCAACTGAATCGAGTCTTAGAATGGACTTTAAGTCTGAATGCTCCTACTCTTGAATGTTTTAGCAGTTTGCTCTTTCACTGCTACAGTCTTCCATTTCTTAAAGACATTTTGTTTTAGTTTCCATTTACCTATTATTCGTGTCCTCTGGTTTTTTTCCCATTTGGGATAATTCTGGGAGTCTTTCTGCTTCATCCTTTAGATTATGTGACTCTGTGTGTATGTGTGTGTCTGTGTATCTGTGTGTGTCTGTCTCTGTCTCTCTCCCTGTCTCAGAACGTGATTTGTTTGAGATCACTTTCTGACCCCACTATCCTTTAGCTATGTGACCTTGAGCCAGTTACTTGACCATCCTGTACCTCAAAATGACTCAACTATAGGCTGGGTTGCATGTGCATCTGATCCCCTCCTACAGTGTGGAAATATTAAATGACCCAGGTGCTGGTGGCTCACGCCTGTAATCCTAGCTACTCAGGAGGCTGAGATCTTGGGATCGTAGTTCCAAACCAGCTTGGGCAGGAAAGTCTGTGAGATTCTTATCTCCGATAAACTACTCAGAAAAATCAGTAGTAGAGCACTAGCCTTGAGCACAGACAGGCTAGGAGACAGAGCTCAGGCCCTAGGACTAGAGAGGAAGAAGAGGAGGAGGAAGAAGAAGAAGAAGAGGAAGAAGGAGGAGGAGGAGGAGGAGGAGGAGGAGGAGGAGGAGGAGGAGGAGAAGGAGGAGAAGGAGAAGAAGATTATAAAGTGAATGAATCTGTAATGCAATTAAAACCATGTGATGGTTTCAGGCATTAAACACAAATGACTCAAGCAGTGATACTTGCTCTCAAATCTTAAGGCATCTAACCTCATCCTAAGTGAGAAACTTCAGCTAGCTAAGGCAGCAAGCATGGGGTTCAGAGGAAAAGATGGGGCATCGCCTGCTTTGCCATCAGTGGAGAAGAAAATAAAAGAAACTGCATCTAGCTGGGTGCCAGTGGCTCACATCTGCAATCCTAGCTACTCAGGAGACTGAGATCTGGGGGTTACAGTTCAAAGCCACCCTAGGCAGGAAAGTCCATGAGACTCTCATTCCCAATGAACCACTAAAAAAAGCTGGAAGAGGAGTTGTGGCACAAAGTGGTAGAGTGCTACCCTTGAACTAAAAAAAACTCAGGGACAGTGCTCAGGACCTAAGTTCAAGCCCAGGACCGACAAAAAAGAAGGAAGGAAGGAAGGAAGGAAGGAAAAGAAGGAAGAATTCTTCAGCTGACCAGTGATTGCTTTCATCAAAGGCATCCCAAAGTTTGGACACACTGTGAGTGGACCATTGTATATGTGAGAGAGAGAGGGAGGGAGAGAGAGAGAGAGAGAGAGAGAGAGAGACAGAGAGACAGACAGACAGACAGACAGACAGACAGACAGACAGACACAGAGAGAGGTGGAGCCTAGACCATGTCCAACTCCTCCCTCCCATTTCTGGAACCTGAAGCCCCCGTCCTGGTGTCATGGCATGTCCAGGCCCCTGGCTTCCCTCCTCTCATCTCTTCCGGTGCTGGTGCCCAGTTCCTTGTTTCTCTTCCTGACTAAGCGTGGATTTAAGACCTCAGGAATCAGCTGTTCTTCCCAATAGCCATAGGCCCGGAGGGACGGCGGTGACCATGGGGGACTCCAAGGAAGTAGGTGAGGCTGGGGCTAAGCCACTGGGAGCTCCAAGAAGTGTGGCGAGGGGAGGGGATCTGGAATGGCAAGGGGTGGGGACAGCTGGGGGTCTCAGCCTGTCCAGGCTCTGACTGATGCCTTGTTCCATCAGATGAGGAGGAGCTGATCTCCGATGGTAGCAGATATTCTGGAAAAAGCTTTGGAGTCCGATCGTCTTTGGGGCTTGGGAATTTTCCAGGTAGAGCAGGGTTTCCTGTTGGAATGTTGGGTCATGGGGAGGTGAATGGTGACCTCTGTACCCCTCCATTTTTTGGGGGGGAGGAGGATGAGAAAGAGGAGGGGGGAGGAGGGGAGGAGGGGAGGAGGGGAGGAGGGGAGGAAGGGAGGAGGGGAGGAGGGGGGAGGAAGGGGGAAGGGGAGAGGGGAGGAGGCTGTAGTTAGGCTACCCAGGTAGTCAGGGATACTGAAGGATTATAACCCCCAACTTTTCTCTCCCAGCTTTTCTGGGTCATGGTCGTGTCCCCCAGCTGCTACAGCTCATTCTCTTTGTTCTACTTGCTGCACTTCTGATGGCCACCTTCATTCAAGGTCAGGAGACAACTGAGAGTTGGGGCTTCCTTGAGAGGGGAGGAAGATGGTGAAGCTAGCCAGGCGCTGGTGGCTCACGCCTGTAATCCTACTACTCAGGAGGCTGAGATCCGAGGATCATGGTTCAAAGCCAGCCTAGACAGGAAAGTCCATGAGACTTTGATCTCCAATAATTAAAAAAAAAAACGAAAAACGAAAGTAGCTGAAAACTGAAGTGGTGCTGTGGCTCAAGTGGTAGAGTGCTAGCCTTGAGCTGAAGAGCTGAGGGACAGTGCCCAGGCCCAGAGTTCAAGTCCTGTGACAGACCAAAAAAAAAAGATGGTGAAGCTAGGAATGGGAACAGCAGCTCCCACCTCTTAGGGCTCCCACCTCTGGTGCAGTGGAGGGGAGGGAGAAGGAGGAGGGAAGAAGATGAAGGGGGGGGGCACACAGAAGTCCTGTCTCCATTTGACCTTGTGATCGAGCCTTCTGTGGGTGTGACATTGCACAAAATGTTGGTCCTCAGAGACAGGGTGGCTGGAGGCCGTGTGCAGGCAGAAGGGGTTTTTAAGTCACAGCTTGTTTTTCTCCCCCTTGTCTCCTACCCCCCCCCCCCCCCCCCCAGTCTCTAAGGTCCCTAACTCAGAAGAATTGAAGCAGAGTCAGTCAAAGCAGGAGACGATTTACCAGGAATTGACCAGGATGAAGGCTCGAGTGGGTGAGTGGCCACTAACTAGGTACGCCAGGACCGGAGAGAGTCTTTACATGGGGGTTGATTCTCATTGGTCTCTGGTCCTCTCTGAGCCTTGATCTCTTCATCTGTGAATTGGGAGCAATGGTGTTTGTTGGTCACAGAGAGCCATCCATGTTGTAGGCATTTGATTAAGCTTGGCTCCCGGCCTCTGTTTTGAGTTCTAAAGCTCAGACTCCCTCTCAGTCTAGGAGAGATGGTGCCAGGACTTTGGGGGGTTCTCAGGGACTAAGGAAGAGGCCCAGGAAGTGGGGAGGAGATTGATTTTCCCAGGATGTAGTGTCCAGGAAGGGCCTTTGAAAGTTGGGCAGCTTGAAAGATGGGCAAACACAGGAATAAGAACATCCATGAAGGGCTGGGAAGGTGGCTCAGTGGTAGAGCGCGTGCCTTGCATGCCTGAGGATCTGGGTTCGATTCCTCAGCACCATATAAGCAAAAAGAAAAAAGCCAGAAGTGGTGCTGTGGCTCAAGTGGTAGAGCGCTAGCTTTGAGTTGAAATGCTGAGGGACCGCGGCCAGGCCCAGAGTTCAGGCCCCACGACTGGACCCAAAAAATAAAAACAAAAAAAAGAACATCCATGAAACTGGGCAACAGTGGCTCATGCCTGTAATCCTAACTACTTAGGGTCTGAGATCTGAGGAGTGTGGTTCTAAGCCAGCCCAGGCAGGAAAAATCTGTGAGACTTTTATCTCCAATGAACTACCAGAAAACCAGAAGTGGAGCTGTGGCTCAAAGTGGTAGAGCACTAGCTTTGAATGAACTCAGTGCCCTAGGCCCTGAGTTCAAGCCCCACTGTCACAGGGTGCAGGTGAAGGTTTGGGAAATGTCCCTCTAAAAGTAGGAAGTCTTCACTTCTTCACTTAGGGTCTTTGGCTTTGATCACAGGAGGGAGGAAGGGAAGGAGGGGAGAAAGAGAGAGAGAGAGTATGTGAGAGAGAGAGAGAGAACCAGCTACTTGGCAGTTACAGTTATTTAGGCAGGGGGTCTGACTTTAAAATTATGCAAAGGCAGATGTTTTATCTTTGCTCTAATCATGCCTGGTGTCACTTTCTGAGTTTCTGGATGTTTTGGGGCATTCTTTCCAGATAAGAAAGCATCCTGCCATAAAACAGATCCTTATCCTTGAGATAAGAAAGGCACCCTGTTATCTACATTTAGGGAAGGAGGCTTTTAAGTTGGGGGGGAAGCATTTTTCTCAGGAAGGCATACATCCTGTCAGATAAATGTCCATTCTGGGGGTGAATAATGCATCTCTCAGGAAGGAAGGCACCCTGTCGCCTCTCTGTGAAGCAAAGGCTCTTCTGTGGTTCTCAATGTCATGTTTCTGAATAGCCTTTACCAAGCTTCATTTTCCTCAATTTATCCTGTCTCACCATGACTGACCCTCCCCTCAAAAAGGCTAGGTCCAAGCCTGATCCATCTCTCTCAACAGACCATCTATGCCGGCCCTGCCCCTGGGACTGGATATCTTTCCAAGGGCATTGCTACTTCCTCTCCAATTCCCAACGGAACTGGCATGACTCTGTCACTGCTTGCCAGGAAGTGGAGGCCCAACTCGTCAGCATTGAAAGTGATGAGGAGCAGGTACTCCCTGGCCAGCTGGGGTGGACATGGGCTGGCTATACAACATGGTTTTCTGGTAGTCTAAGTTTCTTCCAGAAATGGAGAAGGAAGTGGTTGAGGATAGCCTGGGTGCCTCGCAAAGGAGACATGCAAAAGTTCTGAACATGGTGAATACTTTTTTCATCGGTTGTGGTGGGGCTCTTGAACTCAGGGCTTGGGTGCTGTTCTTGAGCCTCTTTGTGCTAGTACTCTACCACTTGAGCCACAGTGCCACTTCCATTTTTTGAGTGTTTCATTGGAGATAAGACTTCATGGGGACTTTCCTGCTAGGACTGGCTTCCAACCGAGATCTTCAGATCTCAGCCTCCTGAAATAGCCAGGATTACAGACATGAGCTACTGGCCCCCAGCTAGAATACTTTAAAATGTCAGTCATCTTTGTTGGTGTGCTGGGCTCTGTGTAAGCAATCTCCATAGAGAGCTCAAAAGTCCTGGTGAGTTATTTTTGGCAAGTTCCCTCGTGTAAATACTCGCAGCATGGATGATTTCCAGCCACCAATGGGTTCATCCTTCAATGGAGAACTGAAAAGAGGTGATGTGCATGATCATGCATTACCAATTGGTACAATATGGCTCTAGCAGGTCAAAGCCAGTCATAAGCCTGGAGCTGGTGGCTCAGAGTTGTGCCTCAAGATACTCAGTGCTTAAAGAGAATACCATGTGCTTTCAGGCAGGAAGAGTTTATTTTACTGAACTGCTTGCCCCCTCCATGCAGGGTGGAGACCACATAGCTGAAGGAAGGGGCAGGCTGAGGTCTGACCTGTGTTTAAGTAGGAAAGGGGAAGGGAGAAGGTGTGGCCAGATGAGGGAAGATGTGGCCACACTGGATGCGGATGTGAACTCAGGGCCTGGGACCCTCCCCTGGTCGGATGGTAAGGATGGGGAGAAGGGGTCTACCCGGGATGTTACCTCCAGGTATGCTAGTTACTTAGCTGGCACAGGGAGGGGGTGGAGACTTAGCCAAGATGAGGGAGGAACCTGCCTTTTCTTCCCAGGGTGAACCTTGTACTCGGAAGGCTGAGATCTAAAGATCATGGTTTCAAACCAATTCTGGCACAAGGACCAGAAGACTCATATTTCCAATTAACTACCCCCCCCAAAAAAAAATCCAGAAGTGGAGGTGTGGTTCAAGTGGTAGAGAGCTAGTCTTGAGCACAAAAGCTAACATTCAGCACCCAGGCCCTGAGTTCAAGTCCCAGTACCAACACATAAATACACACACACACACACACACACACACACACACACACACACAGGGGCACAATCAACTCTCAATAGCATAGGGGGAACAAACACATAAAACTTTGGAGGGGTGCCAGGTGTGGTGGCTCACGCCTGTAATCGTAGCTACTCAGGAGGCTGAGATCTGAGGATCACGGTTCAAAGCCAGCCTGGGCCTGAAAGGCTGTGAGACTCTTGTCTCTAAACCACTCAGAAAACCAGAAATGGTGCTGTGGCTCAAGTGGTAGAGCGCTTGCCTTGAGCTGAAGAGCTGAGGGACAGTGCCCAGACCCAGAGTTTAAGCTCCATGACCAACAACAACAAAAAAAAAACTTTGGAGAGGGAAGAGACTACTTCATATCTCAACTATAAAAAGGAGACACAAGCCAGGTGCTGGTGGCTCACACCTGTCATCCTAACTACTCAGGGGACTGAGAGCTGAGGATCATGGTTCAAAGCCAGGCCAGGCAGGAAAATCCATGAGACTCTTATCTCCAATGAACCACCAAAAAAATGGAAGTGGAGCTATGGCTCAAAGTGGTAGAATGCTAGTGTTGGGCAGAAAAGTTCAGGGACAGTGTCCAGGTCCTGAGTTCAAGTCCTATGACCACAAAAAAGGTTGGGGGGGGGGCACGATACAAGATAGGTATAGAAAATGGGGCACAGAGCTTCCTTTTGAATCCTCCTTCCTTTCTTCAGATCTTCCTGCAACAGACTTCTAAGAAGAAAGGCTACACGTGGATAGGGCTGTCAGACCTGAATCAGGAAGCCGCGTGGGTCTGGGTGGATGGCTCACCACTGTCCAACAGGTAAACACGGAATGTCACCCTAGGGAGTGACAGGGGGGTTGTCTCTGAAACTCTGTCCTTCCTGCCCTCCCATTACATGAGAATCTATGAGGCCTTCTCCATAGAGGAAGCGTCTTCATGCCAGGGTGAAGATAAAGATGAAAAGTAGCACCAGTCACCCATGGCTCATGCCTGTCTTCCTAGCTACTCAGGAGGCTGAGATTTGAGGATCGTCATTCAAAGCCAACCAGGGCAGAAAAGTACCCCTTGGAGATTGTTATCTCCAGTGAACTACACAAAAAACTGGAAGTGGAGATGTGGCTCCAAGGGGTAGAGCTCTGGCTAAGCAAAATGAGCTCAGAGACAGCACCCAGGCCAAGTTCAAGCCCTACCATTGACCAAAAAAAAAAAAAAAAGGATGGAAAGTAGCCCAAAGTCATCAGTCTATATAGGGAAAGGAGTCTATAAGGAAAGGAGTAGGGGAGACAGGGCATGCTGGCTGAGGTCTGAGTAGTTTGAAGCATTTCAATGGGTTCTATAGGCTCTGGTCATCACTGTCTGGCATTTAGCTCTGAACAGGTGCATAGGGTCCTTAATTACAACCAATAAGGGAATTGGTTTAGGATGTAGAGTCTAAATTGGTTGATTTGTTTCTTCTTTCTTCTTTTTCTTCTTCTTCCTCCTCCTCCTTCCTCCTTCTTTCTTCCTTCTCCTTCCTTCTTCTTTCTTCCTTTTCCTCCTCCTCCCCCCTCCTCCTCTCTCTCCCTCTTCTCTCTTCTCTTCCTTCTTCTTCTCCTCCTCCCCCTCCCCTTCCCCATCTCTTCCTCCCCCTACCCTCCTCTTTCTTCTCAGACGCTTTGTGCTCAAGGCTAGTGCTTTACCACTTGAGCCATAGCTCCACTCCTGGCTATTTCTGAGTGATTTATTGGAGATGAGAGTCTCATGGACTTTTCTGCCCAGGCTGGCTTCAAACCGTGATCCTCAGATCTCAGCCTCCTGAGCAGCTAGGATTACAGGTGTGAGCTACTGGTGCCCAGCATCTTTTTATGTATGTATGTATGTATGTATGTATTATGTATGTGTTATGTATGTATGTATGTTTATATTTACGTATCATGCTGAGGATTGAACCCAGGGCCTTGCCTACACTAGGCAAGCCCTTTACCACTAAGCTATACCCTCAACAAGATAATTTCTCCTAACCAGGGGGAGACCACAAGAATCAGAGTACCAGGTCAAAAGATTTAGGCATATTACTAGATCCTGAACAAGATGTGGCTACCATAGGCCTACGGGAGGGCAGGCACGAGACAGAGACTTACTGACCTGTGGATGTACTTTACAGACTGAAGAAATATTGGAATAAAGGACAACCCAACAATAATGGAGGACAAGACTGTGTGGAATTTAGAGGAGAAGGCTGGAATGACTCCAACTGTGACAACAAGAAATTCTGGATCTGCAAAAAATCTTTGAGTCCCTGCTCTCACAAGTAATGGCCAGTCCTCACAGCCCAAAGTTCCCCTCTCCCTCAGTGGCAGAACTCTACCCAGGTGCATGCCAGATCCTTAACCCAGTGAGTGGGCTGTTGTGGTTCCAATAATATCTTTAGGCTCTCCTCGGTCTTATTGGACATCCATGGTGGGCGGAACTTCCTCTGATGCCCCCAACTTCCTGTTGGCATGGTGACCATTGCTCTGTCTCAGTAGTTAATATACTGAGTGGGTGTGGGATAGATCTTTGGGTGGGGTGTATTCTGTAAATCTACCCTGCACTCTTCACCCCTTGGGGTAAACTGGGGTTGCTGTCAGAACCCCACTATTGGCCTTGCCCTTCCGCCTGGTGCCTTCTTTCCCATAATGTAATAAACGTGTTTGGTCTTCATTTGGATTTCCCAGTGATGAAGATGTGTGTATTATTTATTTATAGTGAACCTTCTGATGCTACTTTAATTTATTGTAATAAGATGACTTGGGCCAGGTGCCCATGTAGTCCTAGCTACTCAGGAGGTTGAGATCTGAAGATCACCATTCAAAGCCAGCATAGGCATGAAAGGCCATGAGACTCGTATCTCCATTTAACCACCAGAAAACCGGAAGTAGGGCTGTAGCTCAAAGTAGTAGAGCACTAGCCTTGAGCAGAAAAGCTCAGGAGAGCATCCAGGCCCTGAGTTGAAGCCCTACAGCTGTCTCCCCCACCCCGCAAAAAAAAAAAAAAAAAAAAGATGACTTGGGTTGGAATAAGAAAAGATCAAGATAGCGCTAGTTCCCAGAAAGATTAAAGGGTTAGAATTTTCAACTCCACCTACCAATCTCCACGGAGGGGGTGGGGGTTGGCTATATCAGAACTCTTTTGAGTGTGTGTGTGTGTGTGTGTGTGTGTGTGTGTGTGTGTCAAGTGGTAGAGTGCCAGCCTTGAGCAAAAAAGCTAAGGGACTGTGCCCAGGTCCTGAGTTCAAGCCCCAGTGCTGGCACCAAAAAAGGGGGAGGGGCAGGAAACTTCCCTGTGAGAATCCCAAAGCTGGGAATATCTTTTTTTCTCTTTCTTTTTTTCCTTTTCTTCTCTTTTCCTTCCTTTTTCTCTCTCTCTCTCTCTCTCTCTCTCCCTTCCTTCCTTCCTTCCTTCCTTCCTTCCTTCCTTCCTTCCTTCCTTCCTTCCTTCCTTCCTTCCTTCCTTTCTTTCTTTCTTTCTTTCTTTCTTTCTTTGTCGGCTGTGGGATTGAATTCTGGGCCTGGGCACTGTCCCTGAACTCTTCAGCTCAAGGCGAGCACTCTTCCACTTGAACCATAGCGCCACTTCCAGTTTTCTGGTGTTGATAGGAGATAAGAATCTTATAGACTTTGCTGCCTGGCTGGCTTTGAACCATGGTTCTCAGATCTCAGCCTCCTGAGTAGTTAATATTACAGGCATGAGCCACCCACACCCGGCTTTATTATTTTTTTTTAATTAGGTCTTTTATTTATGCCTCGATTCTCCTTTTCTTTTTTAAATGCCAGTCTTAGGCTTGAACTCTGAGCCTAGGTGCTGTACCACTTAAGTTACAGATCCACTTCTGCCTTGGGATGGTTCATTGGAATTGAGTCTTGCAGCGTTTTCTGCCCAGACTGGCTTTGAACCTGGATCCTTAGATCTCAGCCTCTTGAGTAGCTAGGACTGCAGGCATGGTAACAATGCTCTGTTTAAAGTTTCTCATGTGACAGTCATGTGCCATGATGCTCAGCTTTGATTGCTTGAGATGGTCTCTTCAGGAAATTTTTGCCCAGGATGGCCTAGAACCACTATCCTCCTGATCTCTGCCTCCTGAGTTGTTAAGATGGTAGACGTGAATCACCATTCCTGGCTCAGACACTATCTTTTCTATAATAAAATTCACTTAAAAACTTTGATGCTTGTTTTATAGCCCTACCTATTGTCTATCTTGTTGACTATCATAGACCCATGGAAAAGCTATGGACTCTGTTATTGGGTAAAATATATAGACGTGTAAGTGTGAATTAACTTTGCTTGTGTGTCACTTGCTACATTCAAAACACAAGTCTGTAATTCCTTTCCTAAGGAAGCTGTCACCTACTCTTCAAAATTCTCACCGTTAGCCAGGCACTGGTGGCTCACGCCTGTCATCCTAACTACTCAGGAGGCTGAGATCTGAAGATCATGATTCAAAGCCAGCCTGAGCAAAATAATAATAATAATAATAATAAAGTCCATGAGACTCATCTCCAATGATCCACCAAAACAGCTGGAAGTGGGGCTGTGGCTCAAGTGGTAGAACACCAGCCTTGAGTGCAAAAGAATTCAGGGGCGGTGCCCAGGGCCTGAGTTCAAGTTCCAGGATCAGCGCACGCATACACACACACACACACATTATCTTCACTAAGGATGAAAAATAGAGACCCAATATTATATGTTGTGTTGACATCTGATTTAAAACAAAAACCAGGAAGTTTTTGATGTGGTCTCACCACAGAGTTCCCCTTCTAGCTCTCTTCCTGGACATCTCTTCCTTACTGAGGAACCTGACTCAGCTTCCGATCCTCCCCAAAGACAGATCCTTGGCAGCCATGAAATGACTGAATCTAGCCAATCACAACTCCCTGTGGAATCCAGGGGGGACCCCACTCTCTTGGGACCCCCAGAAGTATACTCCTGACCTGATGATGAGTGTGTGACCAATGACACTGGTGTATGTGTGATGGTACCGGGGCTTGGACTCAGGGCCTGGGCACTGTCCTTGGGCTCTTTTGTTCAAGGCTAGCACTCTACTACTTGAGCTACAGCTCCACTTCCAGCTTTTTGTGATTAATTGGAGATAAGAATCTCCTCGACTTATCCTGTCCAGGCTGACTTTGAACTGTGATCCTCAGATCTCAGCCTCCTGAGTAGTTGGGATTACAGGCCCAAGCCATCCAGTGCCTGGCTTAATGACACTGTTTTGTCACGTGTTCTGGAATTCTTCACCAACGGGTGGATAGGAGATAAACCACCAGCAAATAATAAGGCTTTTTTTTTTTTTTGCTTTTATCCTAGTGTTGGGACACAGCTAGAACTCTACTGCTTGAGCCATTCCTCCAGTTCCTGCTTTTTTCTTGTTATTTGGAAATAAAAGCATTTTGGAGGGTCAGTCTTGAGGTTTGAACTCAGTGCCTGGGCACCGTCCCTAAGCTTTTTCACTCAAGGCTAGAACTCTACCACTTTGAGCCACAGCACTACTTCCAGTTTTCTCGTGGTTTATTGGAGATAAGAGTCTAATGGACTTTCCTGCCCAGGCTGGCTTTGAACCACCATCCTCAGCTATAAAAAGCCTTTTATATACCTATTTGATATGCTTGTTTGCTGTTGGTGACTCCTTTGATGAAGTGGCTGTGCTGATTTGTTTTTCAGTGCTGGGAATTGAACTCAAGGCCTCTTGGTTGCTAGGCAAGCTCTCTAACATTTGAGCCATGTCTCCTGCATAAAGGAAGGGTCTTACTTCATGCCCAGGCTGGTCTTGCCTTGTGAATCTCCTTGTGCTTGTCAGCATTGCTGGGAATAAAAGATGCACCTAGACAATGTGCTTTCTCCATAGCGGGGCCAACAGACAGGCATCACCACACTCGAACATTAGTTGAGATGGAGTCTCATGAATTTTTATGACCTAGCTGGCCTCCAAACACACCTCTTCCCTCTACCTCTGAAGAAGCTTAGATTACAGGTTTGAAGATGCTATGCCCAGCTGTGTAGATCTTTTATTCCATAAAAAATAGTGTCTTAATTGTGAGCTTCAAAAAAGTTTAATATACGCTCTATTCCACTAAGAGTGTGTAGATCCGTGGTATTATTAAATAAACATTACCACCACCAGCATCTGCTTACCGAGTTCTTCATTTCATAGAGCCGATTAATTAAACAAGAGATCCCTCGGGCAGCAGGGTGTGGGGGGAGGAAGGAGAGGGAGAATGCGCTCACACTATCCGATTCATATTCTACAAAATTAGGGAAATTGAGGGGAGGGGTTGGGAGGGATAGAAGGGGGACACTGGTTAAGATTCATTGCATTCATAAACAGGGCTCACTGAATGGTAACTCCTTTGGATCACTACTTACAGATAAGAAAAATGCAAACTGAAAACAATAAATAAAAGAGATCCCTGGTCTTCCTCCCCCCCACCCCACCCCACAATTCTATATCCTGTGCTGTAAATGTGATGACTTCAGGGGCTTCCTGTGAAATGAATCATGCAGTATTGTCCTATGCAAGCGCAGTATTTGTCCTATGCAAGCTGGCTGATTTTCACTGATGACTGCCCTCCATGTTCGTCTTATGCTGTAGCATGTATGAGAATGCCTTTCCTTTTCAAAGGCTGTATAATATTCCCTTGTGTGGATAAATACCATTCTCTTAATCTGTTCCTCTATCCAGTGAAGACTCCTGTTCCTTCTACTTACTGGCTATTGGTGCATAATGCAGCTGGGAACACAGAGGCACAATATTTCCGAGAACCCCTGCTTTCAGTTCTTTGGGAGTAGAGCTACCCAGAATTGGAACCGTAGGGTCAGATGATATTTCCATTGGCATTATTTTGAGGAACTAAATGTGTTTTTCTGCAGAAGCTACAGTATTCGGTGTGTTCCCAGCAACATTGTGCAAGGGTTCCAATTTTTCCACATCCTTGGGACACGTTTTTTTTTTTTTTTAAATTTGCTGGCTTTTATATGAATGGTCCCTGTGGAGGCCGGGGGAGAGGTGGTAGCTAGTGGAGTTTTTTGTTTTGCGTTGTGGGTTTGGTGGTTGTTTTTGTTCTTATTTTGTTTTTTGTATCACTCTTGGGGCTTGAACTCAGGGCCTGGGCACTGTCTCTGAGCTTTTATGTTCAAGGCTAGTGCTCCATTACTTAAGCCACAGCTCCCTTTCTGGCATTTTGGTGGTTCATTGCAGGTAAGAGTGTCACAGACTTTCTTACGCAGACTGCCTTTGATTCGTGATCCTCAGATCTCAGCTTCCAGAGTAGTTTGGATTACAGGTGTGAGCCATCCATCTAATGTTTTTGTTTTTGTCAGCAGTGAAGCTTGGACTCAGAGCCTGGGAGCTGTCTCTGAGCTTTTTTGCTCAAGCCACCTACCTAATGTTCCATTCATATTTTCTAATGATTCACCATGACAAGCAGCTTTTCATGAGAGAAAGAAAAAGAGAGAGAAAGGAAGGAAAGAGGGAAGGAAGGAAGGAAGGAAGGAAGGAAGGAAGGAAGGAAGGAAGGAAGGAAGGAAGGAAGGAAGGAAGGAAGGAAGAGAGGGAGGGAGGGAGGGAGGGAGGGAGGGAGGGAGGGAGGGAGGGAGGGAGGGAGGGAGGAGGGAAGAGGAAGGAAAGAAGGAAGGGAAGGAACAACAGCTTTAGTCATCAGGGAAATGAAAATCAAAACACCAGTAAGCCAGGTGCTGGTGGCTCACACCTGTAATCCTAGCAGAGATCTGAGCATCACTGTTCAAGGCCAGCCTGGGCAGGAAAGTCTATGAGACTCTTATCTCCAATAATCACTAAAAAGTGAGAAATGGAGCTACAACTAAATGGTAGAGCACCAGCCTTGAACACAAAAGCTCAAGGAGAACGCCAGGCTCTGTGTTCAAGCCCAGGTACTGGCGTGCGCACACGCACACATACACACACACACACACTTTTTTTTTATTTAAAAATGCAGATAGAAGGTTTCTGATCATCGTAAGCATTAAATAAATATGAATGGTTCTGAATTGGATCTCCACTCTCAAGTCGGCAGAAATTCCCTTAAGTCAGAAAATGGCAAGCTGGGCATCGGTGGCTCATGCCTGTCATCCTAGCTACTCAGGAGGCTGAGACCTGAGGATCGAGGTTCAGATTCAGCCTGGGCAGGAAAGTCTGTGAGACTCTTATCTCCAACAAACCATTCAGAAAACCAGAAGTGGAGCAGTGGCTCAAGTGATAGAGTGCCCACCTTGAGCTGAAGAGCTGAGGGATAGTGCCCAGACCCAGAGTTCAAGACCCACAACCACCAAAAGAAAAAAGAAAATGGCAAATCAAGGCAGAAGCCTGGGTTCAGCATAGATATTTCTGGAGACACTGGGAGATGTTGGGATGCGGGAGGAGTGGGCATAGCTACCCAACTCTCATCGCTGCTCTGTGCTAAAGAGCCAGCACCTGCCAACCCCTCTCAGGAATTCCTGGACCATGAGACCCCTTCGGAAGTGGGTCAGCTTTGCCTGCCCCGCCCGCCCCCCCAGCCTCTTCCGGTGCTGGTACCCAGTTCCTTTTTTTCTCTTCCTCCGTGAGAAGAAGAGATTCAGGGAGTTGGGAATAAAAGCTGTGATCTTCAGCAGCCGGTGACACCAAGGGACAGCAGTGACCTTGCATGACTGAGGAAATGAAGGAGCCACAGCTAGGCCCCCTGGGTGAGGCTAGCCTGGGACTTGGGGGAGGGCGCACTCTGGACTCTGGAGCCAGGAGTGGGGGGGGAAAGCTCAGGTCTTTGATGGATGCTAGGGGCTGGGAAGGTGGCTCAGTGGTAGAGTGCTTGCCTTGCATGCATGAGGACCTGGGTTTGATGGATGCTTTCCACATTTAGATGAGGAGAAGCTGATCACCAATGGCAGCCAATATTCCTTGAGCAGCTCTGCCCGAGCAGGAGGACAGCTCTTTGGCAGCTACTTAGCTCTTGGGGGAGGGTGACAATCTGATCTCTGGATATCTGGGTGCTTGGAACTGAGTGCTCAAATGCTGGACCTTTGGGTAGTAGAAGAGTGAAAGCTGAAGATCTGGACTCCTGAGGTTTTGTGTGTGTGTGTGTGTGTGTGTGTGTGTGTGTGTGTCTGTGTGTGTGTCTGTGTGTGTGTGTGTGCACGCGCGCATGTGTGTGCACACACACATGCCAGTCCTGGGACTTGAACTCAGGGCCTGAGTGCTATCCTTGAGCTTTTTGTGCTCAAGGCTGGTGCTCTATCACTTGAGCCACAGCTCCACTTCCAGCTTTTGGGTGGTTAATTGAAGATAAAAAGTCTCACAGGCCGAGCGCTGGTGGCTCATGCCTGTAATCCTAGCTACTCAGGAGGCTGAGATCTGAAGATCGCGTTCAAAGCCAGCCCGGGCAGGAATGACCATGAGACTCCTATCTCCAATAAACTACCAGAAAAACAGAAGTGGCGCTGTAGCTCAAGTGGTAGAGTGCTGGCCTTGAGCTGAAGAGCTGAGGGACAGCGCCCAGGCCCAGAGTTCAAGCCCCATGATCAACCAAAAAAAAAAAGTCTCACAGTTTTTCCTGCCTGGGCTGGCTTTGAACCATGATCCTCAGAGCTCAACCTCTCGAGTAGCTAGGGTAACAGGCAAGAGCCATGGGCTCCTGGCTTGGGAGGAGAATGCAGTGGTGGCCACGCTGTCACTGGACCCTGGCCTCTATGTGTCCCGCAGGGTGTCTAGGCCGCGGCCACACCCCTCTTGTGCTGAAGCTACTCTTCTTCATCTTCTTCTCCGGGCTCCTGCTGGCCATTCTCATCCAAGGTGAGGAGAGGACAGAGGGCTGGGGATGTATGGCCTGGTGGGGCCAAGAGGGAGGTGAATCAGGAGCTGGGATCAAATCTATCAGAGGCTTCTGGGGGCTTCTGCGGGAAGGGAGGGGGGATTGGGAAGAGAGTGGGGGAGGAAAGGAGGGGGAGGGAGGGAAGAGCTGAGGAGCAAGGTTTCAGCCTAGTTTGGAGTCCAGATTTCTTCATCCTCAAATGCAATCACACAAAACCTTGGATCTCAGAAATGATGATCTGAAGGCAGACGAGGGGAGGAGGTGGAGCTGGAGGCTGACAAACAGTAGGTGCTTTATGATCACAGTGCGGTTTGATTTTGTGGGTGTTTGTTTATGTATTTATTGGTCGGTCACGGGGTTTGAACTCTGGGCCTGGGCGCGGTCCCCGAGCTCTTCAGCTTGAGGCTAGCGCTCTACCACGTGAGCCGCCGCACCACTTCCTTTTTTTTTTTTGATGGTGATGGGACACAAGTCTTCAAAGTCCCCAGCGATCAAGGACAGTCCAAGCAAGAGGAGATCTACCAGGAGATGATTCAACTGAAGGCTGGAGTGGGTGAGTAGCCAGACACTTGTGGAGCAGAGGGAGAGTCTCGAAGTTTGAGAGGGTCTCTCTTCCTTTATATAACCACCCCTCCTTGTGGAACCTCAGTTTCCCTCATCTGGGAAGTCGGAACTCAACGTAACAGGTGGAGTGTGCCCAGGCCTCGTGCATCTAGTAGGTGCACAACTAATCTTCTCCTTCAGCTCTGGATTTGCAAAGCCTTACTGGTCCCTATCTGCAGCCAGGGTTCTGAGGTTTTTCCAGGCTAAAAAGGGAGTCAGGACATGGAGTGGGGAATGGCGGCAAGGGAAGGCCCTAGAAAGCTGGACAGACACAGAACAAAGCTGTCCATGTAGGAGTCCAGCCCGACCCTCCACTTCCTCCCCCAGACCGCTTGTGCCGGCCCTGCCCCTGGGACTGGACGTCCTTCCTAGGAAACTGTTACTTCTTCTCCAAGTCCACCCGGAACTGGACGGATTCTGTCATCGCTTGCAAAGAAACGGGGGCCCAGCTGGTTGTCATCAAAAGTCATGAGGAGCAGGTAAACCAGGGCTCGTGGGGAGGGTGGGGGACCCCCATCTTCCTGTGGGGCCCTTTATCGGGTCACACTGGGTGGCTGTTCAGGCATGGCGTTCTGGATGAAAGGCTGCAGCCTACTGCAACTAGAAAGAGAAGACAAAATGAATGGGGGAAAAGTCTCAATTCTGTTTCAGGGGGACCATTCCTGTTTTAATCTGAATGAATGCCCTGGGGGAATTTTTTTAAATGGGGGGATTGCCAGCTGAGCATCGGGGGCTCATGCCTTACATCTTACCTGCTCAAGAGACTGAGATCTGAGGATTGTGGCTCAAAGCCAGCCCCAGGTGGGAAAATCCATGAGACTCTTATCTCCAGTGAACCAACAGAAAGTCAGAAGTGGTGTTATGACTCAAGTGGTAGAGTGCTAGCCTTGAGTGAAAAAGCTCAAGGACAGCCCCTCTCAGGCCCTGAGTTCAAGCCCCAGGACCAGTACAAAAGAAAAAAAAAAGTAACAAAAAGTAAAGTAAACCTTTTGCCAGTTACCCTGGTATAAATATTGATATGGCCAGCCTGGCCAAGCCTCCAAGGGAATTGTCATTCAATATACAGCTGGAGATCAGTGACAGTTGAGGCCATGGTTAATCCCCACTAAAGCCAAGGATGAGTAAATCTGAGTGTGCATGGGCAGATTAAACATACCAATTTGTTGATGTGGCTGTGTGTAAGGTGAAAAGCCACACGTGTTCCAGGTACAAGTCAGGACACCTGTACACATGGGAGAGAGGGACCCAGACCTCCCAAAAAACTCATGAAGATTTATGTTTTCCAACACTGTGAAGGCTTTAAGTCAGACTATAAGCAGAACTTCCTGCGAAGAGACTGCGGGAGGAAGAGGGAAGGGGGGGGGGGCAGAGGGAGGCCCAGCTGGTAAACTAGAATGGTAGTGCTCTCTCTCCCTTTCCAGAACTTCTTGCAACTGATCTCCAAGAATAAAGGCCACACGTGGATGGGGATGTCAGACCTGAACACAGAAGCCACATGGCACTGGGTGGATGGTTCACCCCTGTTGCCTGCGTAAGTCTCGTGCGAATGTCTGACAGAGTCCGGTGGGATTTTGATACTCCGGTGGGATTTTGAGCTATGTTTGGAGGGGGGGGTCCCCCATTCCAACCCCCAGGCACCTCTGACAAAGTCATGACCTTGTGATAAAGTCTATTCCCCCAATGGTGCTGTGGCTCAAAGTGGTAGAGTGCTAGTCTTGAGCAAAAAGAGCTCAGGGACAGCGCCCAGGCCCCGAGTTCAAGCAAGGTCTCTATGTTCAGGTGAAGATAGGGTGGCAGAGGCCTAGACTGCCATGGTCAAAGCTGCAGGAGTACCTGGGGTGAAAGGATCTGAAATAGAGCACATTAATAGGTAATCTTCCCCAAGATGGCATGTTGGCTGGATATCAATGACTCACACCTATCATCCTAGCTGCTCAAGAGGTTGAGATCTAAGGATCCTGACTCGAAGCCAGCCTGGACAGAAAAATCCATGAGACTTTATCTGCAGTTAGCCAGCAGAAAAGTTGGAAGTGGAGCTGTACCTCCAAGGAGTAGAGCGCCATCTTTGAGCACAAAAGCTCAGGGACAGCGCTCAGGCCCTGAGTTAAGCTCCATGCGCGCGTGCGCGGGCACAGTCCATCTAAGGGTCTTGCTCTCTGCAGCTTCATGAAGTACTGGAACCCGCAGGAGCCCAACAACCTGGGGGAGGAAGACTGTGCGGAGTTTGACGGCAACGGGTGGAATGATGACAACTGTGACGTCAACAACTTCTGGATCTGTAAAAAACCAGCAGCGTCCTGCCCCAACCAATGATGGCGGCCGGCCCCTTGCAGGGAACTCTGACCCTGAGCTGTGCAACCCGCAAACAGTTTAAGACAGCACCCAGAATGCGGAGAGCTGCCGTGCTAGGGTTTAAAACAGACAGCTCTGGAGAGGGTGAAGAGACCGGGGTGCCACCCCACCCCACCCCTTTCCTTGGGCTGGCAGCTATGCCAGGGACTTTGACAACTGAAGTTTGGGCTAAATATATGGACACAGTGTCTGGACTTCCCCTGGGCTGCAGTCTCCTGTCTCACAAGAATAAGGACATCAGTGTCCCACAAACTCTGTTTTAGCTCTGGTTGTCATATTAATCTAGATGCTTTATGGGTTGCATGTATCCATGGTAACCTTCCCTGTGTCAGCTCAACTAAATATGCTTGCTTGTGGGGATTGGGGATTCGGGGTCCCTGGTCCCCGCTGATTCTCATCTCCCCCCCCCCTCCTCCTCCTCCTCCTCCCCCTTCTTCCCTCCCTCTCCCTCCCTCTCTCCCTCTCTCCCTGTCTTTTCTAATTTTCTTCCTCCCAGTATCCCATTGCACTGCCTTGATTATGATCAGCCCATTCCTCTCCCACAATCCCTTACAGCTTGGTCCTTCCAACCTCCCTGCGGGGTGGTGGCAGAAACATCTGTCATTTCCACCCATTCTTTAATCCCTCGCCATTTGTGTGGAGATCTGGACCCTGAACTCACAGTTCTGGACTCTTCCCTGCGAGACTCCCCCAAAGGGATGGACCACTGAGATCTTTTCCTCCTCTGCTTTCCAGGTTCCTTTTGTCCTACTGGTTGTAGTAGGACATCTTTGCAGGTCAGTGGAAGAGGCAGGGGTAGGCTTCACACGTGCTCTGGGTATGTTCCATGAAACCAGCTTTGCTGGGTCCAAAGGGTTTGCTTTCATGTTAAAGTACCATCACCATCCAGCCCAAGTGGTATCCAACTAAATACAGTCCTTCCCCACCCCCCCTCCATGTACCTTACTCTAGAAGTCTCCGCCCAACACCTGTGTTACCTAGGTGACCAGCACACCTGGGGGCAGTCACCTCTCCTTTCTCTGAGGTCACATCCTGGACCTCCCTGGTCACCCCTCCTTCAGACCTTAGGAGGGTCCCAGACTCTGAGATCACATCAGCGTCATCCTCCCCGCCCCCTTCCACTTAACCCCAATCTGGCTAGGTGTTAGCCCCCTTCTGTGCGCACCTCCACCTCATGCAGGGCTGGCAGTTCCGAATAAACTTTTATTTTTTCTGCCTGAAGACCGCATGGTAGTTTCCTAGATCTAATTAAAACCTAACACCTTCCACCCTATCGACTTCCACCCACTTCCCTGTGTACCTGTGCACAGGAGCTTTTTGGATTGCCCCCAGTGCATCCCCAAAGCTGCAAGTACCAAGTAACAGATCCTTCAGTCAATAACTATTGAAGGCGGCACCGGTGGCTCACGCCTGCAATCCTAGCAACCCAGGAGGCTGAGATCTGAGGATCCTAGTTCAAAGCCAGCCTGGGCAGGAAAGTCCATAAGATTTATCTCCAATTAGCTACCAGAAAACTGGAAGTGGCACTGTGGCTCAAAGTGGTAGAGCACTAGCCTTAAGCAGAACAGCTCAGGGACAGTGCCCAGGTCCTGAGTTCAAGCCCCATTACAGAGAGAGACAGAGACAGAGAGATGAGAAAGACAGAGACAGAGACAAAAGACAAAGAGACAGAGAGAAAGAGTAAAAAATATTCTGTCTTGGGAGCAGGGGCAGAAGTGGAAGGGGGAAAGTTGAACAAATGCAGTCATGGTATTCAGACACTATGTGGAAAATGAACTATGAAGCTTGCAGGCAGGGATGGAAGGGCAAATGGCAGCGGGGGAGCGAAGGAAGGGGTGGCATTGTCCAAGAAGAATTGTACGCATTACCTGGATTTGAGGAATTATAACCCCTCTGTACAACTCCTTAATAATAATAACATATTTTTTAAAGTGTTCTGCCAAGGACAACTCCTAAAAGAGCGCGTGCACGCTGGAACTGGGGCTTAAACTCAGGACCTGGGCTCTACGTTTTTTGCTCAACGCTAGTGTTCTCCCACTTTGAGCCACATCTCCACTTCTGGTTTTCTGGTGGTTAATTGGAGATAAGAGTCTCACGGACTTTTCTGCCGCAGCTGACTTTGAACCGTGATCCTCAGATCTCAGCCTCCTGAGTAGCTAGGACCTGCAGGTGCAAGGCACCAATACCTGGCTCTTCATTTTACAAAAGAAAGACCTTTCCTATTTCATTTCTAAATAAAACATCCCTGTAGGTTCCTGGAAGTGATTGCTTATCAAACTAACAAAGCTTTCCTGCCTTCTTTGTGTCTAAGCATGTATTTTCTCCTGGATATCTTTTTGGCTTTCTTGTTGTTTTTGTTTTTTTGTTTTTTTTTCAGTGAGAAATGAGTGCTGGCTAGATAGGTCTCTTCGCTGTCATGTGAAGGAAACCAAAATAAGGCCAGGAAGGATATCGGCCCATGGGATATGATTAGAAAACTTCCAAATGTGCAAAGCAAGCTAATGCATTGTCTGTGAGTACACACACACACACACACACACACACACACACACACACACACACATACACACGTATATTACTTTTGTATCGTAAACACCATCTTTGGAAGGGAAGTTGGGCCAGAGGGGCAGAGAAGGAAATAGAAAAATCAAATCACAGATAGGAGGGTGGGGATGCTACCACTTGTTAGGATATATATTTTTCAAAGAGGATCTGAAATATGTTACGATGTCAAAACACCATAAAGCAGATGAGAAGACAGAGAGATTTCCTTTTCCTCCCTTTCAGTCTTATCTTTTGCATGCTTGGTTGTTTTTCTTTTCTTTCTTTCTTTTTTTTTTTCTTTAATAAGAAAAGTCAATGCTGAGCTGTACACTGGTGGCTCACGCCTCTAAGCCCAGCTACTCAGGAGGGTGAACGCTGAGGATTATGGTTCGAAGCCAAACCAGGCAGGAAAGTTCCAGAGACTCATCTCCAGTTAACCACCAAAAGCCAGGAATGGAGCTCTGTCTCAAGTGATAGAGTGCTAGCCTTGAGTACAAAAACTTAGGGACAATGTCCAGGCCCTGAGTTCCAGGATTGGTGTAAGCACGCACATGCGGACACACACACACACACACACACACACACACACACACACACGCGCGCGCACAATCAAAGTTAATTAAAAAAACAAAAAAGTAGTTTGCTCTATGCATTGAACTGGGTTTTTTGGTCCTCCTGAGCCTCTGATTCGTTTTTGTTGTCGGTGGTGGTGGTGGTCCCTAGGGCTTGAACTTGGGGCCTGGGCACTGTCTCTGAGCTCTTTTCCTCCAGGGTAGCACTCTACCATTTTGAGCTACAGGTCTACTTCCAGTTTTGGGGAGGGTGGTTCGTTGGAGCTAAGAGTCTCACGGACTTTTCTGCCTGGGCTGGCTTTGAACCCCGATCCTCAGATCTCAGCCCCCTGTGTAGCTAGGATTACTGGCAGGAGCCACCAGCTTCCGGTGAGCCCCAGTTTCTAAAGGCAATATCAAGTTCAGGAGGTCATGACCTTAGAAGCCCTTTCTCCCATGAATTTCAAACCCCTGTTATGCATCAGGGTGGCGGGGAGAGGGGGGAGTGGTGTATGATCAGCCTCAGCTGGCCAACACCTTCTGACTACCGCTTCTTGACAGGGTCTTGATTTCTACCAAGAGGCCTGTTGTTTCCCCCACAGTGCTCCCCTGTGCAGATCCTTTAATCCACTCATCTTCATCAGGACAACTCTGACTGCCTCCACGGGCCTTAACATTTTCAGGAAGCCCCGCCAGACCCTTCCAGCACACTCAGCTGCTGCACGGTTCCCAAGGACTACACTCATCCTAGGTTCTTCAAAGTCCTTCCTTATCATCCGTGTGGAAGCTTCTCAAGCAAAGAAAAATAAGAACTACCCTAACTAGTCACCAATGGTTCACACCTGTAATTCTAGCTACTCAAGAGGCTGAGATTTGAGGATTGTGGTTTGAAACCAGCCCAGTGGGGAAAGTCTCTTAGAGAGACTCTAATCTCCCATGAACCAGCAGAAAACCAGAAGTGGAGCTGTGGCTCTAAATGGTAGAGCACTATAGCTTTGAGCAAAAGAGCTCAGGGAGGGGCTGGGAAGGTGGCTCAGTGGTAGAGTGCTTGTCTAGCATGCATGAGGCTCTGGGTTCAATTCCTCAGTAGCACATAAGCAGAAAATGCCACAAGTGGCGCCGTGGCTCAAGTGGTAGAGTGCTAGCCTTGAGCTAAAGAGGTGAGGGATAGTATTCAGGCCAAGAGTTCAGGTCCCACTACCGACCAAAAAAAAAAAAGAGCTCAGGAACAGCACCCAGATCCTGAGTTCAAGCCCCACAACCAACCAAAAAAAAAGAACTATCCTTTGGCCCAGTGTTACTACTGCTAGGCATTTACTGAAGGAATGTAAGTCAGGATACAATAAAAGCATCTACACTGTTCATAGTATCTAAGCCATGAGAACAGCCCTCAGACCCTACAACTGATGCATAGATCAAGAAATATGATATACACACACGCATACTTACACATATATGTCACACACAAACACACTCGTATGTATATATACATGAAATATACATATATACATTTATACATATACATGTATAAATATACATATATACAAATATACACCTAAACTATATATGTATATATATGGGGGGTACACACACATACACATACAGTGGAATGTTATTTAGCCATCAAGAAGAATGAAATTATGTCATTTGCAGGGAAATAAATGGATCTGAAAAACATCATGTTGAGTGAAGTAAACAAGGCTCAGAAAGACAAAGGTGGTATGTTCTCATATGTATATGTCATGCATAAAATATAAACATATATGTAAACATATGCTCTCTCCTCATATATATATATATACATATATATTCATCTGACTAATGATGAAACCTCTCTGAGCAATTTACAGGCACTTTTTTAAAAAAAAATGATAGTAGGAAACTGAAGTATATCTTGTCTGGGCAGGGAAAGTCTAGCAGAAAGGGGTTGGGTGACTACGGGGGGGGGGGGGGGGGGAGGAGGGTAGGAAGGATATTATGGTCTTAAAAACCTGTACATGCCAGGAGCTGGCGGTTCACGCCTATAATCCTTGCTACTCAGGAGGTTGAGATCTGAGAATCGTGGTTCAAACCCAGCCTGGGCAGGAAAGTCGGTGAGACTCTCATCTCCAATTAACTACCAGAAAACTGGGAGTGGCGCTGTGGCTCAAGTGGTAGAGTGCTAGCCTTGAGCTGAAGAGCTGAGGGACAGCGCCCGGGCCCAGGGTTCAAGCCCCACACCTGACAAAAACAAAACAAAACTTCAACAACAACAACAAAAACCTGTACATGTGTGAAAATAGGGACAAGGAAGCTTGCTGAGACTGATTTGGGAAGAGGGAAGAGGAGGAGGAAGAAGAGGAGGGAGAACAGCAGGGAGATGGCTTTGATCAAGAAGCAGTGTATGCCTAAAAAAAAAAAAGTGGATTCAAAGGGAACTTTCTTGTGAAACTAATTAAATATAGTTGGGGAACGTGTGTGTGTGTGTGTGTGTGTGTGTGTGTTTTAAGCTTGGTCTCAGGGCCCGGGTACTCTCCTTGAGTTCTTTTTGCTAAAGGCTAGCTAGCACTCTACCACTTTGAGCCGCAGCAATACTTCTGGGGTCGTTTGTTTGTTTGTTAAGTGGTTAATGAGAGACAAGAGTCTTGGGACTTTCCTGCCAGGGCTGGCTTTCTTACTGTGATCCTCAGATCTCAGCCTCCTGAGTAGCTAGGATGACAGGTGTGAGCCACCAGCACCCAGCCTGAATGTAGTTAAAAATTTAAAAACAAAAACAAAAACATTCTCTACCCATAATGATTCCAACAAATGGGTTTCCCTTAACTGTCTTAGTTAGGGATAGAGGTCAGTGATCTGTGACCAGCCTTACACCTGGGTCCTCTCGCTTCCACAAGCCACATGGAAAGTTCTGGACATGGGGAGGGGTGAGCTAATTTCCTGTTTCTTTGCCAAGCTGGAGAGTCTATCCTGGTTCCTCAAGACAATTTTAGCTCTAGGTACAAACAACAGAAACCCACTTTCCTTCCCCTTTGTCTTTGCTTAGGGGTGCCCTGAGCCCCTTTCTTCTTTCAGTGTATGTATGTTAGTCCTGGGGCTTGAACTGTGTGCCTACCACTCTACCATGTGAGCCACAGCTCCATTTCTGGC